TTTTTTTTAATAAAGTGACCTTGGCATGAGATTACAGAGAATATCCCTTTCTCCTAGGTTTATGCTAGGCCACATACCTAGCTTACACAAACAATTACTGTAATTCCTGGGGCAATGGAAAGGAATTGTGTCGACAATAGTTTTCCCACATTGTTATGAGTATTAAAAATTTATAGTCTGTAATCTGAGCAGGGAGGTTGGGACAGGAAGATTACAAGTTTGAGCCTATAGTAATGTAGCAATTTAATGAGACCCCTGTCTCAAAATAAGACTCACAACACTGTTGGGGATGTAACATAGTAGAAACATCCTGGATTCAATCCTTAGTATCATAAGAAATAAATAACAACAATAAAATAAGGGCTAAGCATTTTTAATGATTATACAGATATTTTATTTGGCTTTTTTCCCTTTTTTGGCTGTCATATACTAGATACTATATACCAAATACACTAAAATTATTAGAATGAATTAATACTGACTTTATATCATAAATACAACAAATCTTTTGAAGTTTCATAATTTCTAGTATATATACAAGGTTTTGTCTGTTTTTCTTATATAACAACTAGTTTTTAAGTCCTGAAAATTTTCTACTTAATAGTTATAATTACCCATTGAAAAAAGTATGAACTGAGTACATACTTCAAACTTTGCAAGTTTTTACAGGATGTGTTTTCAGCATAGTATATATTATCACATTGAATCAGGAGATAATTTTTTTTTTTTTTTTTTTTTTTTTTAGGGAAAGCCTACCTTAACATAAAAAATAAATGAAAGCTGGGAATGTATGTAGTAGTTCAGTTCACTCAATCCCAAGTACCACATGTGTAAAAAAAGTTAAAGTCTATGAGTTGTTACTTTCTTTCAAAATTTTATTTTATTTTACCAAATTAAGCTATGAGCCAATTACACAACTGAGTTGTGACATGAAGGGATAATGCAAGTCTTATATAGTTGCAGCCCAGTTTGAAAAACACCAGTCAAATTTATAGGGAAAATAGAAAGTGCAATTTGTTCTCTTATTTCTGAGAAATACTTGAAGAGACAGGACCAAAACATACTAATGAATGTTTATTTATTTATTTTGTGGTACTGGGAATTGAACTCAGGAGCTTGCACTTGCCAGGCAAATGCTTATTCTACTGAGCTATCTCCTCTGTCCTAAAGGAAACTTTTCTTTAAAAATTTTTTATTTTAGGGAAGGGTCTACAGGGTGTTCAGGGTCTCACTACTAGATTGGACTTGTAGTGATCCACCTGTTTACAGCCTTCCAAGAGCTAGAATTACAGGTGTGCACCACCACACCCAATCTCAATTGCCATCTCACTGCGCCCTAGGAGTGGGGCCAGCATGACAGACCCAGTGATCGAACTCATGATCCCTGCTCCTGCTTAAAGGTGCTTTAATCTGCTGAGCTATTTGTCCAGCCCTGAATGTTTAAATTGTCATTAATGCCCCTGAAAAAGATTATTCCCTTCTTTTGAACACACATATCCCATCATTTTGTCACTTTCTGGAAGCACTTCTGGAAGTTCTTTTTTCAGTATCTTTATAAGGTATAATTACAAATAGGGTGAATGTTGCTGGTATGTCCTATCAAAGAGAAGGACATGCTCATTAAAACATGTTCCATTCACCTTATTCACTGTATTTGGCACTGTGTGTCTTCTAGCTGTTTCTCAAAGTCAAAATGTCCATGACAAGTAAATATTTTCAATAAATTCAGGAGACTGAGGTAGCTAGGATAGCTCAACTAAAGACACTCACAAAACAGAACTTTCAGAACTACTTTAGAAAGTGGCAAGAAAGTGTCATGAAGTGGAATAAGTAGGTTAAAAGAAGGTGGAATATTTTGAGAGAGATTAATGACAATGTGTCTTTTACTCTAATATATCTTTTTAAAATTTAATCACTGTATTTTCTGGTCACACCTCCTGAATGTTTAGAATTCTCCACCAGGGTTGTCTTCATTCTCATTAAACTTCCTGTTTGAAGACTTCCTTAGAAAACCAGTTCTGATAACTTAATTCAATGTTCTTATGGACCCAGAAATGTATTAAGTGCCAAGAAAGTTCACTATGGAGATCAGCCCACACAATGTAAGCTTCTTATCCCTACTCAATTTCAAATGCAGTACCACCTCCATAATCACTGTATCTACTATAAATGTCTTCAGTAACTCCTTTGCAACTTCTGCTATACAAGAACGTTCTGAGTCTGGGAGAAGGTGAGCATCTCTGAGAGAGTGAGTGTGGGTGATGACTATTGCTTTCAAAATCAAGAAGCAACCAGTTTCTCTTTTGTCCTTCCCCTTATCCTTGTGAAATGGAAATGAGCTACTCACTTCTACTGTGCCATCCAAAATGTTATTAATGAACTGGACCATGTCTTTGGCATTATTAATTTGTCTGTCTAGCAAATAATATTGCTGATTTGAAGTATTCAGTACAACCACAGTTGGGATTGTCAATTCACTAAAAACATAAAAACAAAGAAATCAAATATATATTAAACACAGAGATAGCAAAATTCTGACACTTATTTCATACTGATTCTAAAACTAGTGAAATTAAATTCATGGAAATATTCTTACAGTCAAATAAGATAGCTGAATAATTATGAAGTTAAGGATAGAAATTACAATGTAATGAACTACTAATTTTTAAAGCAGTACTATTCCTTGTCACAAATCTTTAAATGCCATCATTGTCACTTAGAATCCCACTTGAACAGAACAGGCAAGAACATGGTTGCTAGAGTTACCCTGCTTTGGTTTACATCTGGTGCCCGCTCCTAAATGGTGCAAGATGGTGTTATGCAAGTAATTTAGCTTATTGCATGTAGTAATCCTTCATCTATGAAGTGGAGGGCAAAGGCACCTATCTCAGTATAAAAACTGCATGAGAAAATTCCACTTAGATATCCATTACAGTACTGTGTCCAATGTACAAGTTCAATAAATACTCCTGCAAATTCTTCATATATCCACGGCCATACTCTATAGGACACTGTGCTTAATGACAGCAAAATATAAAAATACCTTCAAGTAGGCTTAGAACATTCACCAAAATACATCACATTCTAGAATACTAAAACCCCCTCCAACCTAATAATTTAAATAAAGTGTATTCTCTCACCATTGTAGCACCAATTCTTTTTAACAACTCAAATTATAGTAAAACAAAGGAAAGTTCATCTATCACTATACATTTTGAATATCATCTTAATGTTTATTGGACGAAAATGGCTTTGCCTTCTTGCCAAGTGCTGCTTTAATGAATCAGTATACTGAATTACAGTGAAAGACATAAGAAATAGCTTCATCAAAGTGCTTATTATATATACTTGAAAAATTCTATTAAGAATAAGTTGCTGGGTTTTTTTTTAATAAAGTGACCTTGGCATGAGATTACAGAGAATATCCCTTTCTCCTAGGTTTATGCTAGGCCACATACCTAGCTTACACAAACAATTACTGTAATTCCTGGGGCAATGGAAAGGAATTGTGTCGACAATAGTTTTCCCACATTGTTATGAGTATTAAAAATTTATAGTCTGTAATCTGAGCAGGGAGGTTGGGACAGGAAGATTACAAGTTTGAGCCTATAGTAATGTAGCAATTTAATGAGACCCCTGTCTCAAAATAAGACTCACAACACTGTTGGGGATGTAACATAGTAGAAACATCCTGGATTCAATCCTTAGTATCATAAGAAATAAATAACAACAATAAAATAAGGGCTAAGCATTTTTAATGATTATACAGATATTTTATTTGGCTTTTTTCCCTTTTTTGGCTGTCATATACTAGATACTATATACCAAATACACTAAAATTATTAGAATGAATTAATACTGACTTTATATCATAAATACAACAAATCTTTTGAAGTTTCATAATTTCTAGTATATATACAAGGTTTTGTCTGTTTTTCTTATATAACAACTAGTTTTTAAGTCCTGAAAATTTTCTACTTAATAGTTATAATTACCCATTGAAAAAAGTATGAACTGAGTACATACTTCAAACTTTGCAAGTTTTTACAGGATGTGTTTTCAGCATAGTATATATTATCACATTGAATCAGGAGATAATTTTTTTTTTTTTTTTTTTTTTTGCAGAACCGGGGATTGAACTCAGGCCCTTGCACTTGCCAGGCAAGCACTTATTCCACTGAGTTATCTCCCTGGCCCCAAGATAATTCTTAATATAGAACAATATTAAAATTCAGGAAACTTCAAATGCATCCAAAACTAAAATGTTTAATGAGAAAATATCGGCCACAAAATAAACCAAGAATTTGTTCAATTATTTAATCATTCTGTCCATCTTTCACAAATAAATATTTAAAAATTGCTAAGAGTTGATAACAAAATCATTCAGGACTCTACTTACTCCATCAGCAAGGTATTTATGTAGTCATTTCCATCCATATGGCCGAACTGAAAATCCCTAACAAATCATGGCAGGGACAGCAGAGGGAAGAACACAACATTGAGTTTTATAAGAGGTAAACAATATAACAAATTGAAATTTAGGGCTTGCTTGGTAAATTCATAAGCATTTAACATGTAAGTTACATACAACATATAATAATAGATAAAAGTGTAAATTTTACCAGCTTTAAGAGATACAAATACAGATATGTAGTAGTAACAAATTATACTTCATTTATACATATTTATAACTTAAGAAAATAAAAGCCTTTACAATAGAAACATGCTTAAAATTAACTATCCATTTATTTTAAAAAAGATGTACTCAAAAGATGCCACCCTCTGTGTACTACGACAACTATACTCTTGACATTTCCTCAGCTTTGGAATAATTAAACAATGTAACAAACATATGACTGTCTTTCATGGCAGTCAGTAAAAGAATGCTTTATTTAGCACACAGCAGAAATACTTATTTCTAATGCCATTTTTATATTCAGTTATTGAGTTCTTGTTACAAACATTTATCTCTGACTTCCGATTCTTATTTACTCTCAATTTTGTAAATAAATATTCTCACAAAACCTGTCTGGAATCCTATCAACAAGAAGAATAATATAAATTATAAATAAAAGTATAGTTTTTTCTCTCACTTCAAGACTCAGACAACTCATGATGAAGTGCACACTAACATGTACTTCACTTCCTTGATTCAACATTCAGAGCATAAAATACATATTGAACATCACTTATCTGAAGTACACGGGAACACAAGTTTCACATTTTTAAAAATAATGCATAAATACAATGAGTGATGTTTGGGACAGGACCAAAATCTAAACACGGGACATAATCATGTTTTATAAATACCTAATACACTTAGCTCAAAGGTAATTTTGTGCAATATGTTAAGAGTACCTGCATTTTGACTGAAGTATAGGCACACAAGGGCAGGTGTTAAACTTTTCTTTGTGTCACGTCAGAGCTCAAAAACTTTTTGGTTTTAGAGCACTTTGAATTTCAGAGTAGAGATTTTCAAGTTTTCAGTAGTATAACCTGTATTATTTTTGTTGTATTATAAAATATAAAAAGAAATAAAGGAAGCTCCCGGAATGCAAACACATACCTATGAAAGTGGTCTCTGTAATCTTTAGCAACTTCTTGAATAACTGACTTTAATCTGCAGAATAAACACATAAATACTTTAATTCTTCCTTTGAAAAAACAGAAGTATTGTTATAATATGTTATTTTATCTAAGTGCTGTAAGAAAAGATACTGTAAGGTACCATATCAAGTTTATTTAAGGCCACATAAAGACTGAATTAAAAAATATTTTGAAGCTTAAAACGATTTCAAGGCAATGATACCTGGTATGTTCAATGGATGTATTTTTCTCATCAATAACTGCGATAGCCACAAGCTTCCCTGAAATTAAGAATGACATCTAAATTCAATAAGCTCATAATATAAACTTTTCTATTATTGCTTTTGTTGTAAACAAGGATATTAAAGTTTCTAAAATGTATTACCAGTTATCCTATTCATTTACAATTATTTAAATAAAGACATTATAGTATATTTTATAGTGAATCAGTGAACTGATCATCTTCAAGTAATAATTGTCTTCTACCCCAAATGTATAAACAGTAGTGAATTATAATAATTTGTTTTTCAAACTACACACAAATTGATTAGATAAGTATTCTGCCAACATTAAAACTGTAAGTAGTAAGAATTACACTGATTCACATTTCCTTTGTCCTAAACAGAACACAAATCATATGTACTTTTGATACATTGTTGTGAGGCTGCATGACAGTCAGCAGAATAATTATGTGGGGTTAGAAAGTCAGATAATGCACACTATATTCTAAAAACTGAACCAAACCCTGGAAGATCAACAACAGTGAAGCACCATCATTTATTAGCTACATAACTTAAGCTCAAAAACTTCATTTACATTAGGAAATGAACACCTATTTCATAGAAAAATCGAGAAAACGAAATGAAATTATATGCACAAATATGTGAGACAGTATCTAGCTCAGAGCAGGTATAAAAATATAGGATTAAGTCAACTATATTTCAATTGCATCACCACATTACCATGCTGCTTCATCAAATTCTACACTGCTTGTTAATACATCTCTAAATTCTGCACAATCTTGACTCCACTTTTAATCATGTGGTGGAAACAACAGTTTACTATGATTTTTTCCCTTCTTAAAATATTTCACTCACTACTGAGTTTGAATTTCATTATGGGCTTCTTGCACTTTCAAACAACTCATAAATGAGTTTTGCTTGTTTTTTTCCAAAATGCCTGCAACATGTAGAGGTACAGGTTTCTAAAAAACATAGGCGCAATTTTTTACATATTAATTTAACAATTACTGAGTGCAAAATAATATGTAGCACTCTTGGAAAGTTAAGAGACAAAGTAATGAGCTAATGCAGATCCAGCTCTGCACTTGCAAATGCACGGTCCAGTAGGAAAGAAAGACCTTTATACCAGATCCATGTTATATTAAAATTAAAAAGAGTTCTGAAAGAAAGAAACAAGGGGAAAAAGGATTTAGGGAAAGAGTGAGGGAGAAAGTAGAAAGGGATTTAAAAATGAAACAAGGGGCCGGGGAGATGGCTCAGTAGAATGAGCACTTCCTTGGCAAGCACAAGGGCCTGAGTTCAATCCCCGGTTCTGCCAAAAATAAATAAAAAAATAAATAATAATAATAATAAAATAAAAATGAAACAAGTTGTATTATGTGTATGTAGCCATTCCCCAAGATTGCAAACCACATGTACTACAAACATGTACAAAAAAGAAGAGAAGAAAGAAAAGGAAGATGCTGCTATAAAAAAGTAGTGTAAGGTGATGTAGCTTGAAGACGTTAGTGAAGATTTTCCTAAGAGAGCATTATTTGGTCTGCGTTTAACAGACAGAAATAAATTTAAAATTATCTTCTAGACAAAGCAAAAACAAAGATGGCTTGGTACAGATAGCACAGTCATTTCAAACAACTTCATGGTCAGCATAGCTGAAGAAGAGAAAATATGGGGTGAGATCAGAGAAAAATGAAGACAGATACTAAAACGGCAGGTGCAGAACACAAACATCACTAGTGACAAAATTGCTGTTAAGTTACTCATGTGAAGACACATAGTTGGGACACCACTATGATACCTGCATAAGGGCACAGGTTGACAATGAGCAAGGACACAGCCACAGGTACTGGCAACAAGGGCAATTATGTCAGACACAAAGGGAACCCTGCAACTGCAAACTTCTGATTTCAAACTGATTGAGAAGAGAACTTGAGTGTGGCCTAAGATGACTATTTAAATTATCTTGAGGTTGTGCTATCTCCTGTGATTAAGTACTCAAGGAAAAAACCTTGTATGTCCTTACATTTTTCTTTCTTCCTTTAAATAATCAGAAAATAATTCAAGCCTTGCCAGTACCATGTCAGCTCCACTCAGGAATTACGATTCAGATCATTAGGCACACAATGTCAAAAGACAGCTCATGAACTAGAACAAACACCAATCTAAGGTAAGAGTTTTTAGTCACAGGCAAACATTTTTAGCTTTCTTTTCTTTTTTTAAATGTATTTGGTACAGGGTCTCACCACGCAGCTCAGACCCATAGTGATCTTCCTGTTTTCAGCCTCCCCAGAGCTGGGATTATAGGTGTGTGCCACCACCCCTGGACTCAGTGGCTGGCTCAGAGTGCGTGGGAATGGGGCTGGCGTGGCATGCACTGCCAGGGATCAAACTATGCAGTGCCTGTGCTTGCCTAAGCAGGCACTTACTCCATTGAGCTAGCTCAATGGCCCCATAGGCTAACAATTCTAATCTGAATATGCTGTAAATTTTAAAAGCAGAAGAGGAAACACTATGTCCATTATTTGCCATAAAACACCAGTTTTTTTTATAGTTTCCCTTCCTCTACTCTAAAACTATGCATCCACTGTACTTAAAACAACATTGTAAAGGGAAATAACCATGGTTACAATAATCAGGAATTTACCATAAATTTATAGAACTTTCTTGTTAGCCAATTCTTTGAGACCAAGTACCCAAACTGCAATCTCAAACTCATTTATCTCAAAGTGCCAAGACTGTAATTAATAGGGAAGTTTTGGTTTAAATAAAATAACTGTTATATGATGCTTGGCTGCTGTTGTACAAAGACACTCACTGTGGCACACGTGCCAGAGGTTCACCCTCAGTAATTTATAACTTCTGCAGTTTACATCAATGAAATCATATAATTAACTTCTTATAGTTCCCACATTTATACTGTATATCTATATTTGCTTTGTTTAGCATTTTCAGTGTAATTTGAAGAAACCACCCAACTGATTCATTTTCCCTTCACAAGTAAAAACAGGGCTTCTGAGGTAACTAAGAAGTTGCATTTTTAACTCCTAGTACCAGCTCATCCACCATTTGATCCCGGCACCACAAGCTACCCTGGTCCCAGCTCCAGGCACTTGATGCCAGCCAGAGACCAGCTGGGGAGGCTGAAATCAGGAGGATCACTATGAGTCTGAGCTGCACGGTGAAACCCTGTACCAAATACACTTAAAAGAAAAAAAAAAAAAAAAAAGAAAGAAAAAAGAAAAAGAAAAATCAGCCACCACTATATAGCCTCTTGGTGGATATTTTTTTCTGATTCTCTTACTATTGAGGCTCCTTTTCTTCTTCTCAACATCAGTTCTATTGGTAAATTCTGTCTTCAGCTAAGCTCTGACTCATATACAAAGGTATATTTTTGGTAATAACAAGAGCCCAGGGAGAGGTAATACCAGTCTTTATTCTTATTAAGAACAACTACAATTCAGGTCTCCTTTAATAATGAAATAAGGGCCAGATAGTTCAGTGGAGTAAAGTGCCAGCTTAGGCAAATGCAGGGACTGGGGTTTGATCCTGGGCATGCTGTGCTGGCCCCTGGCCCCATCCCCTGGGGTGCACTGAGACCACAATTGAGACTGGGCACGGTGGCTCGCACCTGTAATCCCAGCTCTTGGGAGGCTGAAAACAGGACGAATACTGCAAGTCCAGTCTATGTAGTGAGATCCTGTACCAAATACAAAACAAAGTAATAAAATCTTAAGAGCAAAAACAGATTTAAGCAATCAAAGAAAAATTTCGTGAAAGTATTGGAAGTTGTTCATTTGCTTGTTACCTGTGTCTCCAAGTTCATATAAGAGGAAGCCATCCATAGTAAGATAATTCTGAAACCTTTCCCTACTGATCCATGCTGAGAGATCACCATCTTCATATTCTTAAAAACAAAACAAAATAAATAAATTAGGACTGTAAGATGGTCACTGCACAATGTATCAACTTGCAAAGTTAAAAGCTTAACTAAAATCAGCTCAGCAATTTCACACCCTAGGGAGACCCCTCCCTAGGGTGTAGATGCCCCACCCTAGAGTGACTTATCACTGAAAAAAAAAAAAAAAAAAATATATATATATATATATATATTTATTTTTTTTTTTTTTTCCTAAAGATAGAGCTTTCCACTTCCTAGGAGGAGCTCTGGTCTTCACAATCAGCTTGGACTTGGACTTCCTCACCTGGCTTCTAGCACAAATTCTTCTGCCTCCACTCTGGATCCTTCAGCCTTCTAGGGTAGGCTCATCTGCCTTTGGTCACAGACCCATCAGCCTCCTAACACAGACTTACACAGAACACTACAGTGAGCTCCAGACCTTAAACTGAATCCTTTGGTATCCAGCATGCTCATGCCCTCTGCATGCTTCCTCAACTGACTCTGTGGGTGACAGTCCAAGGAGTCTGAAGGATTCAGTCTAATGTCTGGAGTTCACTACAGCGTTTTGTTTAAGTCTGTATCAGGAGGCCAAAGGGTCTGCAATGGAAGGCTGGTGAGTCTACACATGAAGGCCTCCACACCACTAAGGTGGAAGTCAAAGAATCTGCGCTAAGAGCCAGGCAACGACATCAAGTCCAAGCTGACTGCAAAGACTAGAGCTCCTCTAAGGAAGTGGAACACTCTTTTTTAAATTTTCTTTTTTATATCTTTTAAGTGATGAGTCACTCTAGGATGGGGCCTCCACTCCCTAGGGTGTGGAATTGCTGAGCAATTTAGTTAAGCTTTTAACTTTTCAAATTGATACAATGTATCAACTAATAGTCATATATTTATTGTATCAGATAAAAGACATGACTTTAAGATAATGGGTATCAGATTACAATGCATCAATATATACAAAATACCTAATGTAGGATAATAATCTTACACATTAAAAATAACATTTCATTTTTAGAAATTTAATTATGGGCATTATAAGTTATCATAGCACATTTCCTAATTTTTTAATGAAATTATATTATTTCAGCATAATTGTAGCTGGTTGTATATCTCAGTAGCTGAACCTCAACGATAGAAAAAGGCATTCTTTGTGTTCACCCACTTATCAAATGGCAATCCAATCTTTGGATCTCAGAAAGATAACGCATTGGCCTTATACAATGCAAAGAAAAACAAAATGGTACTGCTGATGTCAACATTGCTCCATGATGGAAAAAGCTGAACAAAACTGAAGCCTGAGCTGGTAACTTTTTACAACAAATCCTAAGATGGTGTAAATGTTGATAAACTGATGAGTTATGCGGGAACAACGATGTCACCCGAAACACAAGGCCCTAGCCTATGGTTGTGTTTTACTTGATTCTAAATTTGTGTGGAATAAATAGTTAGGTAGTTTACAAAGAAAATAAGTACAAAATATCACAGAGAAACTTTCTTAGAGAACTAAAACCAGAACTCAGATAATTTACAAAACAAGAGCAAAATATTTCTATCCAGGGAGCTACACAAAAAAGCTGTGGGCATGCTGGTGCGCCCCACAAGTGAACAAGCAGACTCATCACCACAAAACCTACTATAATAATAACTGGAAAACCTAAAAGATGTTAGCTGTGCCCTAAAAAATAGGACAGGAAAACAAAACATATGTGCTATTAGCGTAAGCATTACTCATGTTGGACCATGCAGTTTTCATACATGAAGACTGCCTTGGATGTGACAGTTGAACAAAAGATTTTTTTATGTGGTACTTTTGTATTTACTCTGTAGATCACATAGATATTTATCTGTGATATTATCTTTTAGGCTTTGTAAGCAAGTACATAGTTGATGCAAAAATGCTGATGTCTATCCTAAACACTCATTACATGTTTGATACTGTATTTTATTGACATCCCATTTCCCTGCTAAAAGGAATACAATACAGTGTTCCTCACAACACAGAAAGCTCCTCACAACACAGAAAAACCAGCAAGATGTCAAGTTAGTTTTGTACACCAGTACATGGCTGATACAAAAATGTTTATTCTATATGTGTGTGTCAGCTACTTTTCTCTCACTGCTAAAATAAAATACCTGACTCCCAAACTTCAGATGTGGTTTATTTAGCTCAGTGTGCTGAGGTTCAGTCCATAATTGGGCGGCTCCTAAGCAGGGTGGTTTGTCAGAGAATACTTCATGGTGCCCACAAGGGACAGCAAAAGCAAAAAGAGACAGAAAGATAAACCTCTTTCTGTCCTTATATTGTATCCAGTCTACTGGGATGAGGGTACTACCAATCTAGTCAGTAGATTGATCCAGAAATTGCCCACCCTTAATCACAGTACCCCTAATCCTAGCACTGCATCATGAATAAATCACACACTCTAAATTCAACCACCTCTGAAAAGCCCCATTAAAAACTGTATGAGATTTTGGAGGTTATCAAGATACAAACCATAGTGTGTAATAGGTATTAGGTATACTTTATTCTATTGATATTTCATGTTCTTGTTTTATGTTATTTTATATGTATAAAGAACCTCTTGACAAAACGGCAAGACCAGAGAGATATTAAGTATGTCCTACAAAACGGACAGAAAAGCTAAGCATATGTGCTATCAATGTAAGCCATACATACGTACTGAATGTGCTGCCGTCATGGGTGAAGACTACCTTTGGTATGACAATTGAATTAAAGAATTTTTTGTACAGTGTTATTAGTATTTTCATTGTAGTTCATACAGGAATTTACTTGATTTTATATTTTAGACTTTGTAAAACAAATACAAAGGTTTGGTTGAGGTTGAAAATTTTAATTTTTTCAGATAAACACTTCTTTATTTTTATTGTCAAAGATGTAGGTAAGGGCACACCCAATAGCTCAGCAGATTAAAGCGCCTGCCAGCAGGCACAGGAGCTGGGGGTTTGATCCCTGGGCCTGCCTTGCAAGGGCCCTGCCTCTGGGGAGCCCTGAGACTGTGATTGAGACTGGGTGTGGTGGCACACACCTGTAATCCCAGCTCTTGGAAGGCTGTAAACAGGCGGATCACTATGAGTCCAATCTAGCAGTGAGACCCTGAACACCTGGTAGACCCTTCCCTAAAATACAAAAAAAAGATGTAGGTGATATAATTATCCACTATAAGCTGACAAATACTACAAATCTAAAAGATACCTACATTTTTAGTAACACTATTAATATGACTTTTGCATCAATAATGGATTGTTTGCTATGGTAACAAGAAGGGCAAGTGGATTCCTGAAGATTTTGTTCTCCATTTTTTTTTTATTTTAATGAGAAAAAAAAAATAAAAGATATAAAATAGCAACGAAACAACTTTGAAACAGGTTAGTGGGACAGTTACAATAATTAATATAGTGCATATTGTCATTGTAGTAGAGGACAAGATGCAGACATGATATCTTGTCTAAACAGCATTAGTACAAATCTTTCTTCATATTGAATTCAGAGAAAGTAGCTGTATATCTATCCTAACTAGTGTGTGTGTATGTCAATGGAATAGACGATGCAGATATAACTACAAACACACTCAATCATCTTATCTTCAACAAAGGGGTCACACATATTTACTGGAAGAAAGATAGCCTCTTTTAACAAATGGTGCTGGAAAAACTGGCTCTCTATTTGCCAAAAACTAAAACTCGACCTGGGTCTATCACCATGCACTTAACTAAAGTCAAAATGGATTTAAAGATCTAAACATCAAAACAGAAACACTAAATCTCCTGGAAGAGAAAGTAAGTGGAAATCTTCAAGATATAGGGGTAGGCAAACATTTCATGAACAAAAATCAAACTGCACAGGAAATACTTGAAAGAATCAACAACTGGGACCTCCTCTTATTGAGGAGTTTCTGCACATCAAAATAAATCACCAACATAGTGAAACGACAACCCATAAATTAGGAAAAATAATCTTAGTAAGCACTCAAAGGTCTTCTATCTAGAATTTATAAAGAAGATGAAAATTTTAATACTTTTTAAGTAACAGCAAATATTAAAAATTCAGTGCTTTCAGCAGCATAAGTGCCTGACTGGCAAGTACAAGGTTCTAAATTCAATCCCTGGTACCGAAAAATTCAGTAATTTATTTTTTGATGTTTTCCCTGTTATGTATTCCTTGTTTAATAAAACTCATAAAATTATTAGCAATTGAACAACAGAAATTCTTCTAAAGACTAGACATGGGTTTTGTATATCCTTCAGTACGCTCTTTTAACACAAAATTGACTTGACACCCCAATTAAGCAAACAAACCAATGTACATAAGAAATAACATATAGGGCTGCAGAAGACAGCTCAGTGGTCTAAGCACCTGCCTAGAAGCATAAGGGCCCAAGTTTGATCCCCAGTATCGCATGCCATGCAGGCCCCAGAACCCTGGGCATGCCCTGCCCTCCACCAAAACTGGGCGTGATGGTGCACGCCTGTAATCCTAATGCTGGGGAGGCTAGACAGGAGTATCACTACAAGTCCAAGCTGCACAGTGAAACCCTGTACCAAATAAATGAATTAAAATGAAAAAAAGAAATAATGTATAAAGCAAATCTTCACTATAACATCATTAAAAATAGCTAAAAATAATTTAAAGAATATAATCTAAATGTCCTAAGTAAGAAAAAACAGATTACGGTATAAGTTCAAAAGATGATTTACAAATTTTTTTTAAACTATAAGAAATAATTAAATTGCAATACAACCCACATTATGGTATTACTGAAAGTTTGTAAACATTAAAGTGTGAAAAAGTAGTGATAGAATAATAAAATCAAAGCATTTACTCTTGAATAGCTAAGCCAGATTGATGGTTTCACCTAGATAATTGGTGCTACTGGTAATACTATAATATCTTTGCTTTTCTCTATTTTATGACTTTTTTTTAATAGTCTATGTTATAATTTATATCTCAGGCACTTATAGGTAGGCCTTATCGGAGATGACTGGATCATGGGGGCATGATACTCATGTGGGCTGGCCCACTGATGAGTTTATAGCTTTATATGGGGTGTGAAAGATCCCTGGAAGAAATGGGTCACTGAAGGGATAGTTTGGAAGGTCTTATTTCCCTCACTCGTCTTTGGGCTGATCTCTGCTTCTGGTATGACATTCTTCAACCTCTATCTCCTCCATAAAGCCCCTCTCCCATGCAGCTCTGTGTTGGAGTCAGCCACCTACAGAATGGAATATCTACACTTCTGAACCAAAATAAAAAACCTCCTCCCTTAACTTGTGGATTGTCAAGTATTCTGTTCAGCAATGAGAAAGTAACTAGTATAGTTTACAATGTTTTCGCCTATGTACAACTTAATCCCACTTATGAAACCATAGTTTTCTCAAAATCAAAACTTTCCTCTGCTAACCAGAAAGAAAATATATTCAAAAGAAATATCATGATTAGAAACAATGCTAAAACAATTTTTAAAAGTTACTAAATTGCATTAAAAAGGAAGTCAATGTACAGTGAATAAATGCCTTTAAAGACCTACAGATATGTCTGGTTAAAGACTGGATTTCACTGACTGCTTCCTTTCTTATTAGTACATGTCTGCAGTCCACAGGGATACCAGTCATTCTGGGGAGTTGGCACGCACTTAACACACCTGAATTTTTTTGAAAGACATGATTTTTCTGTCAGTTGCAATGCTAACCAAAACATTTTCAAGTTATCAAGCATATAAAATAAGTAATGTAATACAATCTAAAAGTATTTATGGAGTCTGACTTTTAAATTAGAAAAATAAACCTAAAACTAGATAATTGATTATTCGGTCACAATATTCATATTGTGTCAAAAACAAGTCCTCTAAAGATTACACAAAAACTTTTGTGACAAAAAAGTGACAAACTTTTTTCCCCATTTATGTATTTGATACAGGGTCTCACTATGCAACTCATAGTGACACTCCTGTTTTCAGCCTCCCCAGCACTGGGATTCCAGCCATAAACTACCATGCCCAGACTTGTTCACTGACTCAGTGTGCCCCAGGGATGGGGCCAGCACAGCATGTAGGACTGGGGATAAAACCTTGGCCCCTGTGACTGCCAAAGGAGGCGCTTAGTCAGCTGAGCTATCTTGCTGTCCCTAAAGTGACAAACTTTAAACTCAGTAGAAAAGACACTATCACTATCATCCTGCACCATTACCCAAATGCTTCTAAAACTATTAACCACATAAGTGTTAAATATTAAAGCAAAGCCTCTGGTCTGTGAAAACTTCAAGCAGGCTCTAAATACTGTATACTGCATGTCAGAAAAGTTGGCCCTTAAGATAACTAAAGAATCTTCTAATTTACTTCTGTCTGAAGCACTGGGGATCACATCTGAAATAGGGAGAGATGGGGCACTTTTATAGGCAGGATCAAAGGTATCATTTAAATCTAAATAGGCCAAACAGCTCAGTGGATTAAAGCACCTGCAAGCAGGGGCCAGGGGCCAGGGGCCAGGGGCCAGGGGCCAGGGGCTGGGAGATCATTTCAGGGCCTGCTGTACTGGCCCTGTCCCCGCCCTTCCCTACAGGCGCTGAGACAGCAATTGAGACTAGGCATGGTGGCACACGCCTGCCTGTAATCCCAGCTTTTAGAGGCTGTCAACAAGCAGATCACTAGGAGTCAGATCTAGTAGTTAAACCCTGAACATCCTGTATGTAGACCCTTCCTGAAAAAAAAAAAAAAAAAAAAAAATCTAAATAAATGTGACTAGATGTTTCCCATCAAAAAAAAAACACAGTGGCTCTCTTCAGTTGTAATACCCAAAGAGAGAACCCCTGACAAAGCATTTTAACTTGAAAGTCTTTACTGGTTTTTTTTTCTTATAAAATAGGAAGAATCCAGTTCTTAAAGGATCATTTAAATCATCAAATAATATATACTAAGTGCTTATCAGATGAGTATGGTAATCAAAGAGCAGATGGCGGATCAAGTTTGTGGACTATTTTCCTTTCTGCTGTATACAAAGGATGCTTCTGAGAACTTCTCTGAGCCCAATATTTAATAGAGACACTCAACAAACATCCCAAGAATTAATGGCTGAATGAAGAAATGAGCAAACCTGCTATTTTATTACTCATGACTCCACATCAAACATTTTGCTATCTCCTTTATAAATATTGACAGCATATATCTATTTGCCTTTTTTAAAAAAACTTTTTAAATCGTATTTATTTGGTATAGAGTCTTGCTATGTAGCTTGGACTCAGAGTGATCCTTATCTCAGCTTCCCTAGCGCTGGGATTACAGGTGTGCGCCACCATGCCCAGAAAAATGTTCCTTCTTACTAAAACAATCAATACATTCTTACTAAAACAACACAATCAAATTCTCTTCTGTTCATCTGATTTAAGTAATATAATGTCTCTCAACTAATTCCTGCTTCCTCTTATATCGAATTCAAAGAGAAGAATTGCACTCTAGAATACACTCCTACAGTGAATGGAACATTCCCTATCTGCATTCTCCAACATAGTAACAATAACCCACGTCACAAGTGGGAATGAGAAACTGTCTCATACTAAAATATGAGATGTTCTACTAACCTGTAACTTCAAATGTTACTATGACTAATGCTAGGTGAGACTTTGCATTCACTCTCACCTACCTTTGAGGGAATGTGTGGTGGCCAACAAGTGTCAAGTTTCTGTTCCCTTTGAAACTTAAAATATTTCCCAGTGACTCTGTCACCTTGCTGCACCCCCTGAGATATAGTCTAAGGGAAATTATTAATTATCTTGGGTTAAAACAGGTCATGGTTATCTAATGAAGCACATATTGGTAGTGAGAAAATACCATGGAGTTTGCTTAGAAACACTTCAAAAAGGGGAAGAAACAAATGAGGTTAAAACGTCTCAGTTACTCTTCTCTCATTGCTGGGACAAATACCCAACACCCAAAATGAAGGAAGGAAAGGTTTACTCAGCTCACAGTTACTGGAGGTTTCAGTCCATACTCAGCTGGCTCCAAAGCAGCAGGGCACATGGCAGAGAGCAGCAGTTCATGGTGGTGGAACAGCAACAACAATAACAACAAAGAGCAATGGCTAAAGAAAGTCTGTCTCTCTGTCTCTTATTATTACATTCAGGCTCTCTGCCCCAGGTTGGGCGAAGAACTCACACCCATAATCCTAGCAGTACTAAGACCCATAATCCCAGCCTTTTTCTCACACATAATTCCAGTGGATCATGAATTAATCACAAACTCTAGAAGTCCTCAGCTTATGACTGCATGAGTCTCTGGGGGCTCAACCTTTGTGACAGACATACAGTTTTACTATGTTATTCTCTTTCTGGTACACATTTGTTATCAAAATAAAATTTTTTAAATGATCAATGTTATGGTTTGTGTCTAGTTGTCCCCCCAAAGCCTCATGTAGTAATTGGGCGGGGATTTCTAGAGTGTGAGATTAACTCAAGATCCACTGGAAAAAAAAAAAAAAAAAAAAAAAGATCCACTGGGATTATGGGTCTTAGTACTCCTGTGATTATGGGTATGAGTACTTCCCCCAGCCTGAGGCACAGAGCCTAAATGTAACATAAGAGAGACAGAGAGACAGACTTCCTTTCTGTTACCATTTTTGCTGCTACTCTCCCTAGGCTCCTCTTGCTCTTTGCCACCACCCTGAACTGATGCTCTGTGCCCTGTGCCCCTGTGCCTTGGAGCCAGCTGAGTATGGACTGAAACCTCCAGCAACTATGAACTGAATAAACCTATTCTTCCTTCATTTTGTGTGTCGGGTATTTGTCCCAGCAACGAGAGAAGAGTAACTGAGAAATCAACGAATTGTGTTAATGAACTGGTTTATGAGAGGGACAAACAGCTGCAGTGAGGAAGAAAACACAGTGCTCACACTATTCAAAGTGTGTTATTCATCATTTTGGGTATCTGAAATGTCATATATCTTTATAGAGTCAATTCTAAATATTTTAAGATAATGCACAACTCAGATCACATCTCAAAAAGGCAAATAATTTGACCAAAAAAAAAGAATGAACGTATACTAGATGAAAAGACCAAAACTGAAAGGATTAAAAAACCTCAGTCTACTGAGAGGTAATCCACAAGCAGGAGTATAAACACCTCCTAAAATAGATAATAATTTTAAACATGTCTTATAGGAATTACAAACTGTAGGACTTACCATCATAAACAAAGTAAGTTTCATCTTTGAAAACAAGCACAGCAGGCATCTCCTTAAGTGTCACATACTGTAAAACATCAGTAGTTTAAATTTTATCACCAATATTTTAATTGGTAGCTATGATTTCAAAATTATTGAAAGATATCCAAAATACACATACACAAACAACAAAAGAAAAAAAATCTTACAAATCCTAAAGATTAGATCTAAATGTCTTATACATTCCCTGGCACAATGCCCTATTTACCATGGCAAGAACTATGCATTAATTTTAGAGCTGCTAACCAACCCAAAGGTAACATCATGAAAAGTAAAGGATGAAGCCACTCTGGAGAACAGCAAAGTTAGTGTCAACTGGGCTTTGTGGAGTTCACCTTTCCTACCCCTCTCTGGCTGTATGACAAAAAGCCAGCTGAGTCAGCTTCCTCCTTTGTGCAAAAGGACATTAAACTGACCTACCTCACAGTGCAACTATAAATTATTTTATGTAAAGAGAGAACTATTTAAATTATAAATTGCTGGTCATTAACAATAAAGTATTTATCCAGAAAGTACTTATTGCTTATAGCCACGTTACACTTATTTAAAAAGAGTAAAACTGTAGTTAGTTTCAGATCAGAAGACAAATCACTTGAGTAAACCACTGAAAATTATCCTATAAGCATGGGAATAATGAAAATAACAAATAAAGGGAAATAAACAGATCTCAGGATATGAAAGAAAATATAGTTATTTCATTATATTTCTATTAAAAAAAAGATGTATCACCATCAAAAGAACCACAGGGAGGCAATCAGAAGGCTCTAGGATCAAGCATGCCCCTATTCACGTGCTCTTGTCAACTCATTCACAAAGATACCTGGGAAATATTTTTCAACATTCAGTAAATCTCTCACTCAAATATAACACTGAGCAACCCTTAACACTCTTAAAATAGTCTGAAAACTATTCACATTGCTCTACAATATTTACAATCTTTTTTTCTCCCCTCTTCTGTATTCCTTTAAGCTATCTTACCTTAATATGTGTATGTCATTCTTCTCCAGTCATTTTTTAAGTATTATGAGATCTGAAACTACTGTAATTCATCCTTGTACCCTCGTGCTAAAACTACATTTTTCATAAATAGTAACTTTAAATCTAAAGAACCTCTGAATAACAAAACACTAATAATTAAGACATCTCACTGTATGAAGATTAAGACAGTGTCAGCACTTCAACCTGAGCAAACTTCAGGTGTACTCCAATTGAAACTCCTTCACAGCTCTGCAGATGAGTGAGGGTCAGCCAAACATAAGGACTCTAATATCAACATGTGATACACTGGATATGAGAAATACAGTATTAGCTCTGGATGAAGTCCACTTTAGGCCTTAGATACATGTAGGCATTTCCTAACAGAGGTCTTTAGGGCACCTGTTTATGAATCGGATACCAAGCAAGGCCCAACTTCCAGCTCATCTTTCCCTCCCTGTCCAAAGTAAATACACAGACATAAGATACTTTGCAAAATAATTCCCTTAGTCCAAACCAAGTAAACCAAAATGGGCTTTGACTAAACAAAAATAAAAACTGAGTTTTCTAAATCTCAGTTTAAAATGAAGTTAAAATGAAATGAGTTTAAAATCATTTCAGAATAAGATTCATATAAAAATATGTACTTGCATGTACATGCATATATTCCAAGTATGTTTGTAATAGTAATACAAATATTAAAAATTTAGAATCTTTTGACGCTGTTGGTGGTTTGTCTTGCTGTGTAAAGGCTTTCTATAAGATGTGCTCCCAGTTGATTCTTGGTCCCTGTGCAACTGGTCTTTTGTTCATAAAGTTTTTGTCTACAACAGTGTCTTTAAGGATCTACCTATTCTATCTTGTTGCAGATTTAGTGTTTCTGTTCACTATATAGATCTGTGATCCATTCTGATTCTAGTTTAGTGCATGGTAAAAGATATGGATCCAGTTTTCATCTTCAGCATGTATAAAGCAAGTTTTCCGGTTCCATTCATAAAACAGAGGCTATCTTTCTTCCAGAGATGGTGTTTGGCTTTGTCAAAGAACAGAGTGGCTGAGTATGTCTGGAATTGTTTCTACATCTTCTAATATGCCCTGTTCATTCTCCAGTCTGTCTTTTTTTTTTCTTCAGAACTATGCTGCTTTTATCATAGCAGCTTTGTAGTGTAGTTTCAGATTACAGACTGTGTTCCCAGCCTTGCCTTTATTGCCCAGAACTGCTTTTGCTATTTGAGATCACTTCTGGTTCCAAATGAATTTTAGGATTGTCCTCTCTAATTCTGTGGGATATGATATGGAATTTTGATTGGAGTTACATTAAACCCATGTAGCAATTTTAGAAGTATGGTCATTTTCATTATATTGGTTTCTCCCACCCAAGAACAAAGGACTGCCAGCTATTCCTCAGACAAAAGACTAATAATACCTAAAATACATAATGAACACAAAATATAAAATATCCAATCAAAAAATGGTCATCTGAAATGAATAGACACTTCTCAGATGAAGAATTAGAAATGGCAAATAAATAAATAAAAAGTGTTCAACGTCACTGGTCATTTGAGATGCAAATGAAAACAACAGTTGAGACTATCTCCTCTAGAAAGAATGGCTGTTATCAATAAATCAACAAATAACAAACACTGGCAGACTGGCAGACCAGAGGAAAAAAAAATAGGAAGCCCTCTCCATTGTTGGTGGGAGAGCAGACTGGTGTAAGGACTGTGGAAATCAGAGTAGAGATTCCTCAGAAAACTAAAATTCAAGGTTCCATTCGACCCTACTATTTTCCTCCTTGGTATCCCACCAAAAGAATTAAAAGCGTCATACCAGTGATATACATACACCCAGTTTGCAATAGGCAAATCTTGGAAAGAAATGAACTGGGGAACAGATAAACAAAGATGTACATTTTTTATGCAATGGAGCACTACTCATCCAAAAACAATAATAAACTTGAGAAATTTCTAGGTAAACAGATGTACCTTGAGAAACATATTAAGTGAAATTAACCAGACATGTGTGTAAATACCACATTGTTCCACTAATGTGAGAAACAAAAAGTGTAAAAAAGGACCAAAATGTGTAACAAATACCAGGAAGTAAGAAGAAAATGTGGGCTGGGGAAATAGCTCAGTGGTCTAAGCACCTGCCTGGCAAATGCAAGGACTCAGGTTGGATTCTGTGTACTGCATGCCATGCTGGCTTCAGAACCAGGTACGTTGTGCTAGACACTGAAACTGGGGGTGGTTGCGCACACCTATGACTCCAGCACTAGGGGGATGAGACAGGAGAATCACTATGAGTCCAAGCTGCATAGTGAGACCCTATACCAAATAAATAAATAAACAATTAAAAGAAATTAAAGACGAAAATGTTCAAACGGGAAGAACAGAAAGAGGGAAAGGGAAATGGAGAAAGGAAAGAATAAAAAAAAAACAAAATGAAAACAAGAAAATGGAAGCAAAGCTATTGTAAATAAGGTAAAGAAGGGTTGAAGGGAGAGTAGAGGAATAAAAAAAAAAAACAATCCAGGGATGCCATGTGCAGACACTATGCCCTGTGGAGAATGTGATCAAAACCCTAGGAACATATGTGTAACAGAACTTTGTGAAAAAAAAAATCTATTTTTATAATTTATGCCAATTAAAATATTATAAAAGCTCCATTGATTTCCTCTAAGTTACTGTCAACATTTCTCAGGTTCCCTTTCTAAAAAGACATAAATCTATACTTGTGGTCTCTACTTTTACCTTTCTTTCACTGCTGTTTTTCAGGTGACATAATAAGACATTGCTCCCCATTTCTCATCTTAAAAGTATCACCAGCCTCCATGTGAACAAACAGCCTTTTCTCTTCCTCATCTTGAATACTTCATAAACAATATAACTGACCATTCTTTTTTTAATTATATTTTTTCTCATTCCTTTCTAAAATACTCTTACTCTGTTTTCTTACTCATTTTGTTTTCCTTTCCTTTTATAATCTCTTTCAGTCT